ATGCCTTCACTTTCAAAGTAAAGAAGAAAGGGAAAGATTATGTAGTCCCATAATACACTTTTGTATGTGTAGTGCATGTGACTTTCAGCAAAATTGAGTCACATAATTCCAAATTATCATACTAATTACTGCACACTGCAATAAAGCCTCTCCTTTGCTTCCAGATTGGTCTTCTGTCTCATTTTCTTCTTATTTCTTCTTCTTGTTATTGTTGTTGTTGTCCTTCGTATTATTATTCTTCTAATTCGTCGTCTTCTTCTTTTTTTATCCTTCTTCTTATTCTTCTAGTTCGACGTCTTCTTCTTCTTTTTCTCCTTCTTCTTCTTCTTCTTCTTTACCATCCTTTTTCACTTTTTCTTTTTCTCCTTCTTCTTATTCTTCTAGTTCGTCGTCTTATTCTTCCTCTTTTTCTCCTTCTTCTTCTTCTTCTTCTTCTCCAGCTTTCTTCACTTTTTCTTTTTCTCCTTCTTCTTATTCTTCTAGTTCGTCGTCTTATTCTTTTTTATCCTTCTTCTTATTCTTCTAATTCGACGTCTTCTTCTTTTTCTCCTTTTTCTTCTTCTTCTTCTTCACCATCCTTTTTCACTTTTTCTTTTTCTCCTTCTTCTTATTCTTCTAGTTCGTCGTCTTATTCTTCCTCTTTTTCTCCTTCTTCTTCTTCTTCTTCTTCTTCTTCTTCTTCTTCTCCAGCTTTCTTCACTTTTTCTTTTTCTCCTTCTTCTTATTCTTCAAATTCGTCATCTTCACCGTCTTTACAGTCTGTGTCATGGCATGATGGCAAGAACCCAATTTTAGCTTTAATTTGACAGAAATAAAGTAGAAGTGCCTGGGTGTCAGGCGCGTACGCAGGGGGGGGGGGTTTGGGGGGTTAAACCCCCCCCCCCTTTGGAAATTTTGTGTGTGTAAACCCCCCTAAAAAAAACCTAAAACCCCCCCCCCCCCCTTTTGGATTTTTTTTTTTTTTTTTTTTTTTTTTTTTTTTAATTATTAAAAAAAAAAAAAAAAAATTATTCCCATGGCCGACCTAAAAAAGGTGACCTTACCCCCCCCCAACGGAGCAAAATGTCAAATTTCCAAATTTCGAGACCAAAAAAAAAGAAAAAAATGTGTCCTCTTACCCCCCCCCCCCCCCCCCCCCCCCCCCCCGCTTATTCAGCGGCTGGCTGAGTCGTTGCGAAATTTTCGGACCGATTTATAAATGTTAAAACCCCCCCCCCTTGAAAAAATCCTGCGTACGCGCCTGCTGGGTGTCATCATGCATTATTTATGCTTGCTGATTATTTTGAAGCTCTCCATTATGAGTTATCGTCTCATCATCATAGTGGAGTGCTTTTCGCTTCGAGACATACATCACTCGAAGCGGATGTGACAAAGCTTAAAGACACATAGAAGTGGGCTCTCATGGGGAATATGACACCATCCATGAGTTAAAGGTAATACAAAGTTCTGGGAAATTTTGAAAATTGGCTGGATAGTGATTCTTTACAATTTCGATATATTTGGATCCCCCTGTGGATGTATTATAAGCACTAGACAATTTAGCCCCTAAAACACTTCTGCTTTCGAGAAAAATTGAATATAAAAATTTACCGGTGCTCCTGGTAAATTTTGATAAATTCAAAATAGCGCCTAAGGGCTTACAAAGGTAGCTGCGACCATGAAAATCTCAGAATATGTAGTTGTGGTATATACTTTCCAAACGGGAACAGCTAATCGGTCGATTTTAGTCAACTTGAAGAAACATTGTTTAATAGCTTAACTAATATCTTGACCTTGAGAGGGAGCTATACAACATAAAGAGTGTATTATTTATTATTATTTACAATTTCATAACTTTAGACTCGATTTAAGCCGCGACAACGATCACTGAATATTGTAGGATCGCATATGCTTTCAATATGTTCATTTAAACCAAATTCATGACCCCATACCAAAACTTTGCATTACCTTTAAAGGTAAAGACCAGTTATGGTCATGCGATTGCATTGTGAAAGAAACGTTGTGGAATCGATCAGAAAAGGTTGATCATCTAGCATCTAGCATCTGCAAGGTTCTGGAATCATCAAAATGATAAGAAATTTGGCCCATTCTCCGTAAAGTTACAAGCACTATACACAGAAAGACGTATATGGGACTACCCTATATCTCTCACAGACCATGAGAGAAATAAATTTACCAAATATATGGATTAGTAGGCGGTTTCCCGGCAAATTTTTTATCATCATGTATTAGTTAAAACATATTCTTTCACATGATTGGTAATGAGAGCTTCCATTTCATTTTTTGAAATTGGGGCGTTTCCAATACTGGTCTTTACCTTTAACCGCATGGAATTATCATCATAAATATCAGATTTCCCTCACCCTCCAGATATAGGCAAGTTACAGTATTTTCTGGAAGGATCACGGATTTCGCTGCCTCAGGGAACTCCGCACACCCCGCACACATTATGGGTAATTCAACCAAATCTGGTGTCAGTAAATTATGATGCAATACACATGAGTACTCACTAATATGCCGCTTTAAGGGAAACATCACCTCAAAGAATAAGTGTGTGTTTGCTAAGAGATGAATTGTATTGATCTACACTAGTCCTTACGAAAATGTACAAGATATATATTATTTATAGCGTGATGTAATTTAATTTTGCATAACAAGGATGCAGAGGTATCATCTTTATAATGTGACGTACCAGGTGGACTTGTACATGTATCCCTCACGAAGCTCTAGTTGGCGAGACATTCTAAAGGCATCGTTTAACAATGTTAAATCTGAGATGCATGGCCCTACGTGTTATCAGTGTCTGTGATATTGTGTAATAATGAAGCCCTGGAAATTTGCGCTTCAAAATGATCATGAAGTGATTCAAAAAAGTAAAAATGTTTGAGTGACCGGTTTTACCATACTCAATTTTCCCAATAGACTGAAGTTTTATGAAAACCGTTAGGAAAACGCAAACTTTAATTTCGAATTCCAATCATAAATATCTTGATAATCAGACAAACGATCGGCTTGTAAAAGTCATGGGGCTCCTTACTGACCTAAAGGTTTATAATTATCATTGCAGCATGAGTTTAATCCAGGAGTTTGTTTCAGAATCTGAGACAAAGTTACCCAATCCCTTTAATTTAACAACAAACTATTACGTTTCAATGAGGGAAAATCACAGCTGAGAAGATAGAACAATATTTGATGAAAAATATTATAATATGGGAAAAGTCATGACTCATTATAAATTTCTAAAATATAGCTGTTTGAAAATCTAGTTAGTTCATGCAAAACCTTCAAACCAGAAGGGTAAAAACTTGATAATGCGATTTGCTTTCTAATAATTATAGTACAATGCCTTTGTCGTGCTGAGAAATTGTACATTATGCAAAGAATATTGTGCCTTATTCCTTTATGTTTTATTCAATCTATATCATTATGTCAGTCATTCTCTCTCTCTCTCTCTCTATTTCTTAGTCTTGCTCATACGCTCTCTCTCTCTCTCTCTCTCTCTCTCTCTTTGAGTGACTCTTTCTCTCTTGCTATCTCTCATACATAATATGTAATGTGAATCTAAATACCTTTCTTTTTTTGAAATTTTCATTTCCTCAAGAGGTCGGAAATTTCCTTTTAATTAATTATTATTATCTTATTTGTGTTGTAATTTGCTATGACCGTATCCTTAAGATTGCCTTTAAATCAAATACGTGTACAAAATCAGGAACTAACTTCCTGACGGTCCATTATTTATAAGTGTTGATCATTGCTGGGACCCCATTACGAATGCAACGAAGCCATTAGTGCAGTGGGTGCATTCTTACTTGCACGTCCACTAACATAATAAAGATTAAAGGTTTACCACTGGGAAAAACCAAACGTGTCCTTGTAAGTTGAAATTGGAAGTTGGTTTACTATTTCACATCTGTCTATTCCCAAATTGCATTACACTTTTTTGTCTTTTTTATATATCATATTACACCCTATATCTACATTCCCTTGCCTTTCGTCCCTCGACTCTTGATGATCTATATTCTTCTTTCTTCATATCCTTATACAAATTCAATTTGCCATTTCAATAAGTTTACAAATCTGGTTGTCTTCTTGTTGTTGTTCCATGCTCTTGTCCTTTCCCCTATTTTCATCTACTACTTTTTTTTAACCCGTTGACTACTGATTTATCTAGACTTAACACAGGGACCACCAGGTTCCAGTAAGCAATGGGTTAAATTTCCCTCCTGGGATCCTCTCCCTATCCCTCTTTCTGCCCCTCTACCTCTCTTCTTCTCTCTTTCTTCTCACTCTCTCTCTCTCCTTCGCTCACCCCTCTCTACACTTCTCTCTCTCTTTCTCCCTCTCTCTTGCTACGCATCCTCTTCCTTTTATCTCTAAAACTCATATACCACGATTTGTTTATTGAGACTGCATGAAGCGCTGGACGTAGATTTACCTCATAATTACCCCCCCCCCCAAAAAAAAAAAAAAAAAAAAAAAAATCTAAATTAATTTTCCTACTTCCAACAACGTAAAATTTATATTTCCTGAGACTAAAATACTCCATGGGACTTTGATAAAGACGTAATTCCTTAATGAGCACGTTAATGTACATGTTGTAATGTATATTAAACTCGATTGAATGTATAATTTCTTCGTGAAGCCTATATCAAAGTACAATAGGTTGGTATTAATTTTTTTTATATAAATGAATACCATCTCGAAGCATTTCGATAAAAATTAACACGGTTTAACAAAACAAGAAATGGAACGAAAATAAACAGACAATATTGTAAAACGCTATCAATTCATGATGAAAAGAAATAATATCAAAATCGTCGATTAGGCTGTGTGTTCTTATTGCATTTATTGTGATTTTTAAACACAATCGTCATTGAAATATAAAAGAAAGGGAAAAAGGTAATTTCATATTTACATGAAATATTTGCAAACATTCAACACATCTTCTTTATTGCGAATGTAACATATCTAAAGGAAAGGAATAATGGAAATTAAATTACCTTTGAACGGCCAGTCATATGCATTTCAACATTATTCAAGCGGGGCGGACGTTATTAATCCACGCGGAAGCCGGGTTTACCCCTTAAAAAAATCCAGTCACAGCAGCGCTATCCACAAGTGTTTATGAGGTCACCAAAACCTCGTTAGGTATTTACTGACTAACAATTCCACATGTATCCAGTAAGCGTTAACAGACGTTAAATACTTTAATTACAGTTTGTAGACTCGAGCTTTCTGGTGCCAGCTTGAACGCTTGAACGTTTGAACGCCGGCATACAAGTACGCTGTCTTCGTACGATATGAACTCACCCACTGTCGCATGCGAGTGTGTGTGCTTTGCATCCCTGCAGCATAGTTAATGCACACACAACTCAACACGCACTTTATCAATTTGTGTGTGTGCGTGTGTATGATGCTAATGCATGTTATTCAAAGACATCCGCATGCATGTGTACATGTTGAATAGGAGCGCGCAGACGTAATTACATTCATAATAACCATGCATTTGGGGACTCTGTGAGACGTGCGGACTGGTATTACAAGAATGCGATACAGGTGCGAGCAATTTACATCGCCAATGGGAATTTCATCCAATTGAATTGCAGATGCGTATGCATGCACGTGACTGGCGCTTTAGCTTCTGATTGGATGGTGCGAGTAAAGAGACGAGAAATTGAGGCGCCTTTCCGTAATTTTTGATGAAGTAGAGGGGGTAGGTTATTTTCAAGGAAAGTAACAAATGAAGTGAACTCGATATACACAAAACCATTAAACGCTACGTCTCGGACACAATTTTCACTTACCTTTGTTTCCCTATTCTTGTAATTTGCATTGCTTCTTGGTTATACATCGTCTACCTAAACAAACCCTGGTTTATCATTTAAAAGATTTTATCATTAAAGCATAAGCAAATATCCCTCAAATCCCTAAAAATGACCACCAGATCTAGGGACAAAGCAGTTTTTAAAAAAAATTCAGGGCCTACTTGAAAACAAATATCAGGCTTGTTGCACATGACATCAAGATTAAAATTAAATGGGGTCTCTTCTTAAACTAAACATAATTCTATTCCTTGGCAATGTCTTAAGCAGGACTGCACTACCTGTAGCTACTTGCGCCCTCTATACAGCCAACAATGCCTAAGCGGTACCCGTAGATCCCCTATGATGACCTTTTTCGTATGTTAATTGGAGCTGATTTAATGAGATGAACACCTGCAAGTTACCTCACATGGAGGTATAATCTCCCTATGCCAAACAAGTGCAGAGAGGCTTTAGAAAAGATTGCGAACACACCGAGAAGACTATAAAAAGCTACTTAATAGTCATATCTTGTAACAAATTAAGACCAGACCAAAGCACGTATTATCAGTACAATATTAGTACGGCCATTCGCTTCTATCCTAGTCAATTGTATACAAAAAAGAACGCATATTTTGGGTCGTATCCTAGTGTGCCCAACAGGATGATAAAACTATATGACTATATCTAGGCACAAATAATGAGATTGTTTTCTAACTACATACAAGGCTGAACGACAAGTAAACATAGTGGTGGGCCAGAGAAAGATAATATGATAATGTTAAAAATACGTGCACCAAACAGGTCAAAGAGTTGAATAGTACATACTGAAATGGATATGACGTCATAATGATAATGTTTACATTGTCTTGTAATTAAAATCTAGCCAATGTTTAAAAACCAAGGGAAAACACACATATCACTGATCAAATCAATGCCTTTTGTCAAAACATTAGCAGAAACTGATATTGAATTTGTGATGAAAATAAACAGGCCTATATACTGTGACGCAATAGCATACAGACACAATAATCTGTTAAAGTGACTCGGTAACATTGTTGAAGGTTGATGAAAAAAATTGCTTAATTTTTGTATAAAATGTTACTTATTATATTCCTTCTACTATACTAACCCTCTGACATGCAAAATATCCTGAACAAATTCTCAAACCACAAAGATATCTATGGTTTTCTTTGAAGGCGTCGATGTGAGGCACCCTCTAACAGTGATTGACAGTAAATTCTCCCAACCATTTTTGAATTTTCCCAACCGTTTTTCCAAAAAAAAAAAAGGCTATAAAAATCTGTCAACACTTAACTGTCTGGAATGGAATGTAGAGCCATTTTATTGCTCTGTGACGATATACATTCACCTAAAATGTAATTAAATTGTCCTTGTCTTGACGCTGAACAGGCTTTGACAAGTAGCAGAATAGAAGTAGAATAATATAGTTGGGAGAATTAAGGAATCGATCAGATCAGTTTTTCCCTCAAATTTTCAGATTATCTTTAATTGTACATCTAGCATTGAAGTCACCACCTTAGCACCGCTATCTCTCATCTGAACAATGTTACAAAGTCCCTTTAAAAGCTATCCACTCACCTGTAAAGTACAATGACAGTGGCATGGCTTCCATCCAACAATGATCTTCCAAACGCACTGAATCATCAACCTTTCTCAAACGCTGGATTCACAAGAAATGAGCAAGATGTATCTGGGTTCATTCAATCGTTACACCAAAACATTTGTATTTTTAAGGGGAAACCCTAAAAGGCCTTTGTATGTATAAACGAGGGAAGTGTCAATATTTATATTAGTGTTTCCTTGTACCTCCATTGTTCGGTGATCCGTATTTACGTAAAGCGATCATTAAAGTGGTAAGGCTTGCGCACTTTAAGTATGTACATCCTTTTAGAGGGATATTCCTCCCCCACCCTCCACCCAAAAAATAGTAATGATAATATATGAATAGGAATTCAACACTCCGGGAAATGAGAATACAATTTCTGAAAAAGTATTTTGTTTCAGTATATAAAAGGTGAGAAAATATTGATTGAGTATCAAGAACTCTTCAAAAATCACATTGAAAATAGTTTATGAAGGCGACATTACAGCACTGTTTTTTGGGAGAAACATACCAAGTTCATCTTTGCATACTCTATTTATTTTTGTTATTCCCCCCCCCCCCCTAAACTATGAAGTTGCACTTCGTGTTGACATGAAACAACGTACAAACTATTTTTGTCTTCATTTCTGTCGATTATACTTTACTCTCTCTCTCTCTCTTTTTTTGTTTTTGTTTTCTTTATTGTAAGACACATACTATATACACCGTCTGCTTTATGACTTAAACGGGTTTGATCACAATCGACAAGACAATCACATGATTTCAGAGAAGGTCTAACGGGAAATATACCCACGGTTTGAAAAACAAAACGATCAAGACTTAAAACAAACAGGGCGTTGAATTGTACACGTATAATACAAACAAGACAAGGACGAGTATAATGCAAGTCTTAGATTTCTCTGAACAAACAGCTTTTGAGCGAGTTGTTTTCTGGCAATCGCAATGCTTTGTCTCTTGCCCGTGACGTATATCCCATGAAGAACAAATAAATAAGGTTCTAGATTACCATTCCCGAGGCCTTCCTTTAGTGATTTTGTGTTGTTTTGTTTTGGTATGTTATCCTGAAATGGAATAAACAACAATTCAAAGACATTTCAACAATGGGATAGATAAGGGACACCGTCAATGCAATTCCACTTTGTCTTCAGCGGTTCAGCCTCTTTAAAGCATGTTTAAATGCAATTTTGATTACACTTGTATTGAAATTGAGATTTCTTTGTAAATAAAACTGTCAAAAGCATTTATTAAATCCCCTCTAAAAACTCTTCCTAATTTTTGAAAAATCTGGACAAGAAACAAGGAATCAATTTTACCTGGCCTAACACATGTATTTTGCTCTAATACCTGAAAACTCATCTGGATGGTAGTTAATCTTATAAAGGGGAGAAACGTATACCCCCTTGAGCAGTGTACACATAAATAGGAATACATTTTTTAAATTACAACTAGAACCTGCCCCCGAACAAAAAGTGATTATAAATGATTTGAAAGGGAGGTACATAACTATAGAATGAAAGCAAGACCAAATCCCTCCAAAATAGCTAGAGCACGCCTCCTCCAGATTTAAGTGGGTATATTTTCAGTTTTGTTCAGTCAATGTGTTAACCTTGTCATCCCGTAAAAATGTGCCACTTTTTCTGCAGCTAAATGAGCTAACCAAACCATTTCAGTTTGAAATCACATTTTAATTTCAAGACTGGTTTCATTTCATTCATTCATTCTCTTACAGAATCGCAGTAAGAGCGTTTAATAAGTGGACTAAGTTAAATCAGGGCTCAGTTCAATAAAACAAATATATAAAAAATACGAATTTCAAACTGCTTTAACACATTTGCTCTCAGTCAATCAGATGTAATGATCCAGTAGGTTTCACAAGTCGTCGTGACTTCTAATTGATAACAGGGTTTAAGGATTGGGATTATGGTATATAAAGTGGTCCACAATCTTGTAAGAAAGGAGAAACACCAATTTACAACGAGAGGAAAGAAAAATATGCCATAATCATTTGAAGAAAGATTGTTGATTTTATTCGATCACATGATTATGAAAACAGTACGGTACTTTTGACCCACACTCGAAAAATAGTTAAACCATAATTTATACAATATAGGCAACAGCATGAAATATAACTCTTGGAAGACACGTACTTTACCAAATTGTCCAGTATTTCAACAGATTAGAAAAATAATGGCGCAGCTCATTCAGAGCACATTTTAGTTCTTTAACCTTTATTATTAAACCTTATTTAACATTTGGCCACAGATTATCTTATTCTCAAATACTTATACAGGCACCATTTGGTTCCATCCAGCCATGGGTTAGAACTGTTAAGAGATTAATTCGCATTTTTCAGGAAACCTTGAATATATGAAAATTCTACCTGTACAGCAGGAAGATGAATTGATATCAGTTTCATAAATTGATCAAAATAAAGTTTATTATCTTTGTTATTGTTATTGATTAATTCAAGTTTTGTGTATTCGTGGGATTTGCCCGTAACCTCTGAGGATTACTTCATACCTTTAGATACATAACGTACTCAACATTTTCAAACAGACCTATTTTTCCTACTTTATTACACTAACATTTAAAGTTGAGTTTGTGCTCCACTTAAGTTCGTTCATTGGTAAGGCACTTGTTAACACCTTGTATGGTGTTTGAATACTGCACGAGTTAATGAAGGCATCCTGCATGGTTCTTTATATACACACATATATTACGATTTGATTGTAGAATACTAAAGTTTTTTAGTAAGGTATTTTTTCTGTCATTTCAACTGGTACATGTGTAATATGAAACGTGGCCTCTCATTTACATATATGCTTTTCTGGTAAGCGCAATTTAAGATACCACTCGACAAATGACACGATTGATTGATATAACCTATTTTATGGCAAATATTTCAAAACCGATTGGTAGAAATAACAGAAAAATTTCTAAGTCGATACTTAAATAAATTATTTACACTACGTTTAAATGATGCGTCGTCGATTCCTAGTAAACAGAATGGCAAATATTAACAGATATATAAAAATAAGCTTATACCGAAACACCAACGATTTGTTTTTCAATTTGCCATTGATTCTTTAGAAAGGCATTCAGAATATGATGCTTAAGTGAAAACTACCTAACTTAAATGGAAGCCCTGAAACTCATTATATACAACAGCAAACTAAAATGAACATGTCTATTGCTTATTTATCTCAGGAAAAACTTATTGCACTTATGATTTTTACACTTTCTACACAAATACACCTTCTTTAGTCAATCAAAATATACACAATAAATTCCACATTTGTATCTACATGCTGTACATATTCACTGTAAAAATAACATAGTAATGAATTACTCACGTAATTGTAACCTTTATTATTGATTGTCTTTAACATAAGAAATAGGTAATTCATAAAATCGTCAAAAAATATTTAATTTAATTTACAAAGAGACAACTGAACGATGGTATACTCCTATCAAAACCAGTAGTCTTCGAAAATTGTTTTTTTTTAATGAATTTTAAGATGGTGTTTAAGCCCCTACTGATACATAAAGTTTTTTAAAAAAGTAAAGTGAATCACATTTTCATTTCTTACAAGTAAATGTTTATAAAGAACGCGAAAGGTTAAGAGCTATTTGTGCACACACTGCGTTCACAGTATTGACATGTCGCAAATACAATAACAATCAATGGAAGTACAATACCATGTGCAGTTAATAGAGGCATGTAATGATGTACAAGAAGAGGGATATTCTTCAATGCAAACACATTTTCCCACCAGCTTTACACCCTGAAATAACATGTATGGTAGGATATTGATTTACGTAGTGTAAACAATTCTATCCCGTACAGATTGCAATAATTAGGTAACTCAATTGAAGAAAGATATGATAATAGTGTAAATGAAAAATCAATTGTTTCCATTTCTCTTTCTAATCTTTTTATTGTGATCATGCCGACACAAACAATGCCAACTAAATGTTTACATGAAATACTAGGAGGCGAGTAAAAATCCTTAAAATTAATCTAGTAAGTCAGCCTTAAAAAAGGTAGCCAGTGTATTTGCACATTTTAAATTAACCCTTTTCACAAATGATACATTAATTAATTGTTTTCCATGAACACCTCGAGTTTATTTACTATATTACTTTCCATTTATCTAAGGACCATAAGATGAACGATTTGATACATGAGTAGTTACCCTGTGTTTAGTAACATACGACTTAATATCTACAATAAGAATGTAATATATGGTATATCTCAAAAATGATGGAGCCTTATGGCTAGGATATATAGCAAACAACTGAATTATTCATACCCCTTGTCACTTTGATGGTTTTGATATCTTTCATAACTCAATCATGAAAGGTGGGCTGTTTGAATGTATACACTTTGTTTTGCCTAATAAATAAAAAAAATAATAATAAAGGCATTTGTTAAATACTTTTAGATGTAAGCTATAACATGTCACATTCTCGATAACATAAAGCAGAACAAATCAGATCAAGTTACAAAACTCAGTTAGGGTATGAATAATTTAGTTGTTAACTGTAGGAAGACGTTTTAAATGTGCCATTTATTTCTTAAGTTGAGCGGTGGAAGAAAAATGCAGATGTGATATGAAAGTTCATACAATAATAATGATAATAATAATATTCAGCTTGTATAAAACGCCCAATACATCGATACAACGATGTGTCTTAGCGCATTACAGATATATTATTACCCCGGTCATCGGATTCAGGCTCACCCGCACACAATGTATGCACATTTTCCACTCCCTGCGGATATAACATATCTCAAGCGTGAAAGGATTTAGTTTCGACTGGTGACTTTGCATTACGATTGTGTTTATACATCTTTAGCTTTAGAGAAGATAATACGTGATAACAAAACAAAATAAAAGTGGAAGCAGATATTCAGCAATAGGTATTGGTTGACTGTACAGATACTGAGGCGAGAATAAAATAACACACCACCTGGCAAACAATAACATTTACACAAATATTAAAAAATAACAAATAAATACAATTTTATAGGACTTATTACCAATTTAAGGCCCAAGACCCACTAAATCTAAAGCAAGAAAATGATATTAATCTGTATTCATCGTTGCCCTAAAGACTAAGTTTTCTGCAAACAATTCACAATTCATTGAATTTGAAATGTATAGTTCATGTCGAAGTATCAGTCCATATAACTAATGAAAATTGCCTTGCGTTTTTAAAACACCCGCCCTTTTAAATATAGTTTCTGATACCACGGCCTAAAAGCTTTGTCTTATGTATAAAAGCGGATGGTTAAAAGGATTTGAATAAGTATTTTCTAGCTCTATAATGCTGCACTTCATATTAATGTCAAGCAACCCAACGCGTTTACCAGCTTATTGCACCGCCTATAACCATACTAAAAATGGAATGTAATATACAAGGGCAAGTAAAATACACAAGCACTAAATACAAACATAGTCAGCTAAAAATATAATGCTTAAAAAAGCTTTACATGAAGTAAAACGCAAAGGAAAGTGATTTACAGCTATAAATACAGGACGCCTATCAACATACGCTTAGGTGAATATTTGTTTAAACCATGATGCTGAAGTGATTCAAAAATAGTAGATATGCAACCTTACAAGGAATATCAAAATTATGACAATTGTAATTTCGCTTAATGATTTTAAAAATACATACATCCAAGTCCATGTGACGTGTCAAACACGTGGGTTACTGTTCAAGGCCTCAGTTGTATTTAGAAAAATGTTTCGGGCAGTCTCGGCAAGTATCGCCAAGTCGGAGATTTTCCAAGGACTCGGCTGTATTCGACAAGTCTCAGGTCACCTCGGGAAGTTTCGCCACGTCGGAAATTTTTCCCATAACTCGGCTGTATTCGAAATGTCTTAGGTCATCTCGGGAAGTTTCGGCACGTCGGATGTTTTTCAAGGGCTTTGCTGTATTCGACAAGTTTAAGGTCGGAAGTTTCAGGCCACTCTTGAATGTCTCAACTGCATTCGACAAGTTTCAGGATGTTTCGGGAAGTTTCATCACATGGGTGTCTGCAGTATAGGCCTATATATAAAACTATCGGCTATATTCGACATATTTCGGATAGTCTCGGGAAGTTTTGCCAAGGGGTCTCTACCATCTTCTAAACACATCGGCTACATTCGACATATATTGGGTTGTCTCGGCAAGTTTCGTACACGTGCTTCTAAACGGAGAGATATACGATTAAAAGTCACAACACCCCGTTTCCTTCTTCTTCGCTGGTGTTTCTGTATTGAGTGTTATTCCACTCGAGCTTACCTCCAAATCCTCTCTCTTGTGAAGTTGTCTGTCAAACATAAGATAACAAAAATGATAGATACTGATTTATATATGATATCATCATTATCAACATTAACTATTCGGTATCCCTGGTAGGTAATATCGACTTGAAGTTCTTTTTCGCCTTGGTCTCTCCTCCCGATAAAACAAAGTATAATTCGTTTTCCCCTCTCTAATCTTCACGATGGATCATAATAATAATAATAATAATAATCTAATCTAATAGTCCACTCCAAATTTTATTAAACCGAAACGGAAATTCTTTTTGCCCAATTGATCGTGAGCCCGGCCAGCCACTGAGCAGCGCCAGATCGACGTTGGTCTATCCCTTATTGTTGAACGCCAAACAAGGTAGCAACAACTCCCATCTTTTAACGTCTTTTGGTATGACGCGGCCGGGGTTCGAACCCACGACCTCCCGGTTGTGAGGCGGACGCTCTACTGACTGAGCCAACACTCCGGTGAACGTAACTGCTTACTATCGTTCATCACGGAAGGTAACAATCTTGTCAAATGATACACAGATGCTCATTGGAAAAAAATCCAAGGTCTATCGATTCGATGAGAATTATAACGTTTGTTTAACATTTTCCTGATTTAAGTTTCTAACATCAAAGTAACGGTGGTACAAACTTCCGAATGAAATATTTGAAATCAAATATAAACCATTTTCATTTAATCTATAATAAATATTGACACTTGATATTTTGAGGAGGGGTGTATTTAAAGATTACCTTGTCAACTCGATTACTGCATCTTCAACGTTCGATCCCTCCTTAGCACTCGTCTCAATAAAAAGAGCATTGAAAGACTATAGGAAACAATAAACAAGAAGAAAAACATATTAATCATGATTGGCTGTACTTGGTTAAAGATGTTTTTGATCGTTTTACTTGCTTAGGTAGTTTTAGTTTAGCTCTTTCTGTTTAGTAGCAATAAATATGATATTAAGAGAATTATTAGTTTTACTTTCATATAGTGAAAAACGAATTCCAATAATAACGATGACGAATCGGAATATCAAATTATTAAGATTAATCTCGATCATTTTGTATTTCCATCAAGAAATTCAGGAAATTTAAATCTTACTGAAAGAGTCAACTATCATCAAAGTATCTCTGCAAAGAGTTGCCGCATTAAAACATGGATCCCTACAATAACCACTCTATTGCAAGTTCGTAGTTCGTAAACATTGAATTACTTTTGAATACAAATTCCTTTTTGTTTGGTTTTCCAGATGGCACGCAATTTATCTTTAATTTTGTCATTTTATATGCAAAACACTATATGTTCTCTGCGAAATACAAAAGGAAACGGCTTTCTTTGAATTCTTTTAAGAAGATGTTTGAACGTTTTTATGAAGTTGAGCGGGTTATTCCTATCAAACGCAGTAAATTCGTTGTATTACTTGATAAATGGAGACATGTGCAACTGATGTAACAATGTTACCGATAATTCACATTCACAACATGTACTTTGTTCAAATATATTGTTTTGTTCTTGCTGAAGAATGATTGAATACAATTTTTTTCGGAAAAAAAGTTCGTAGCTTACCGTTGCAAGCCTCTGTCCGTCTTCTGTTCGTACACAACGCACGCCCTCTGCGATGGCTAATGGCCTAGCATCCAACTTGTTAGCGCATATCATGACTGGAACAGGCTTGTGTGAACTCTCCTATAGAAGTATAAAAAATAGAATGAGTGCAAACATGATATGGTTGACTTTACATTAAATAGAATCTAAGAAATTTAAGTCAAACGGTCACAGTGAAGAGTTATATTGGTATACTTTTGTTTTGGAAAGATCTTTGCATAATAACGGGAAAAGACGTTTCCGGAAAGTAAAAACATGGAATAATATGAACGCTTGGATTAGGTGAGACACCACCGCTCCGCGTACATATGTTTTGTGTAATGTATTCTCCTCTCAACTTTCTATATCAAAACGGGATACAGAAGTAGGAAGCTGGGTAAATAAATAAAGTATGAAATGAATGAAGTGTCACACCTCATTGTACCATTGTTCGTACCTACTATGAGACAAGGGGAAGAGATAAATGTTGTTGTAGCCTCTCAAATATCAATTTCGTATAATCAAATACATTTTTTTCCAAAAACCATTGCATGGCTCACAGGAGGTGTATTGAACGCCAGAATCACAAAATATAAACTAAACATTAGAAAAACTTACAGATATAACCATACACATTCTAAAATTGATCAAGCAGGCCCCCACCCCTCACCTAAAGAGAAATCATTGTGTCACTTAACCAGTTGACTCCTGGAAACGGATGGTCCTTGTACTAAGCCTATGTAAATTAAACAACTCAGTAATCAAAGGGTTAAATGTGCTTACCTCAATTGCCTCGATCCAGTCCCGCACGTTGATAAAGGATCTCTCGCAAGTGCAGTCGTAGAGAAGCAGTACTCCATCAGCCCGTCTGAAGTAAGATTTAGCAATACTTCGAAACCTTTCCTGCCCGGCAGTGTCCCATAGCTGTAACGAGGTGACTCGGTCATCCACGTCGATTGTCTTCATTTGAAAGTCGACGCCTGTATAGGATAGTTTAATAAACGAATACAATAACTTCACAATCGTTTCATTTAAACCCCCTCTGCACGAGTTTGGCCAGGAGGGATTAGACCTCCCTGCAAGGTCACCGACAGGTGGTTATCTCATCAAATCAGATCTCAATTAACATAATAAAAAGGGGACCATAGGGGACCAACGGGCACCGTTTAGGCATTGTTTGCTATATAGAGGCGCAAGTAGCTACAAGTAGTGCAGTCCCGCAGATCTCGACTCGACTTCAATTGTGGTAGACACACACCAAGTGAAATCTTCAATGATGAAGTAATCAGGTATTATGATAACTTGGTCAAAGACTTGACATATGTTGACCTCGTTTTCAAAATTGCAAGTGATAAAGGGAAATTTTATGATATTAAAACAAAGAATAATAAACAAATTTGGTTCGATTGACAAGATTTATACCACCCATTGCTTCAATTAATTATCATGCATGACCGTAATGCCTTCGAAGGAAATAAAGAAGGAAAAAAAATAGTTTCTTACCTAACGTGGAGTTGAGGTTGCTATGGAAGATTCCCTTACACAATCTCATGATGAAACTCGACTTGCCCACCGCCGCATCTCCGGCTAAGACGATCTTATACATCCGCTCTGGATGGGCTGTCGGTGTCGGGGACAGCGGCTACAAAACAAACAGAATATAACAGTAGAATTACGCCCTAGAAATAACCCTTACTCTTCTTTTAACATGGAGTTGGTCTTATAAACTGTTACGATTAATCGTAACTTATTTTGTTATTCATTGATTTTTTTTCTCAAAACTCCAATTCTTTTTTGTATACATAAACAGTTTATACGAAACTGCAACATAATTATTACGAGGCTTTTTTACCCTTTGATAAACAAAAATAAATACAACACAATTCCATGTTCATTATTTCACAATGTATAGGACGAAAATATATCAAAATCGCATAATAGAAAGATATTACCGCACTACACAACTTATTTGCGATTGATGTCGATCACAACTATGTACATAAGAGATGGGGGACTGCAAACTTGCGATTGATTGGAGGACTTGCGATTGATTTGGATGAATCGCAGCTATTTATTAGACGGGGTCATGATCTCAGAACCCCACCTCTTACACACACACACACATATATTTAACATTGGCATAAAGCGTGTGATAGTTGATTTTTATCAGCTATAGACCAGAGCATTATAATATGCCTTTAAGATTAATCCATCGGGCAAAATTTGCCTATAGATAATCGTCGTTTATTCTTGCAAGGATCGTTCTGCATTCAATCTCTAGCATTATAGTAGAAACAGTATATCTAATCCCCAAGATAATGGAAATCAAATCGTCGCCAAATCACTGTCCTTTCATCTTTGACAGTATTTCTTTAAATTTCATTTATTAATTTGTCAAATTATGGCTTGAAACATTCCATCAGTAAAAAGGTAATTTTTCAAAGAGATCCATACATACTACCTGGAAAAATACCATCCTATATGCATCATTAACTAGGTCACAAAAATATATAATTTTCATTGGCTATTTATAACTTAGTCACGATTTCCTTTTCCTTTAGATTTTTTTTTTTTTTTTTTTTTTTTGGGGGGGGGGAGGGGGGACTAATTCATGAGTAAAGATTTTGCCCTGAGTACATGTCCTGTTCCAACAAAATTGTTAACAAAACAAGAAAAACCCCAGAGAGGCCATTTGTGACTGTATACTCAATTGTAGTGAGTCTTTTAAAGATCATCGAACAACATACTTGGAATCATAATTGTGTTTTACTGGCAAAATATTTTGTTAATTAAAAAAAAACGGTTATAAAACTGCACAACTGCAAATAACTTAGATAGCACAGCCCAAATCACAATTTTGTAATCTGTTCTATAGTTAATGTCTCCAATACGTTTTCCCAACATTATTGTTAAATATATATTATCACTCCTGATATAATTATTAATATCTATTTAAAAGGAAAATGATTTGTTCCTTAATTTTAATAAATGTTATAGCATTTAATGTTACAGGACGAATTACATTATATTAAAAACACTTGTAGATGGTTTATAGCCTTTTGGTGCACAACCAGCTCATCCCAATTAGTCTGTTCTCATATGGTGTACACCCAGCCTGTCTACAATCTACATGGTCTAATGCCCATTTCGTCTACTGTCCACAAGCTCTAATAATCATTTGATGATTATTATTACTTACGATTAAATGAACATTAGACCAAATGGGTAGGGACGAAATGGGCAATAGACAAAATGGGATTTAGACTAACTGGTTATTTAACCTAATGAACAATAGACAAATTGGGTAGTAGACGAACTGGTGGTGGACCGAACGGCGATTCACCTTCTAGAGTCATATTAGACATGAAGATACATGGTTAATAGGACAAGAAATAAAGCATCTCTCTTAATACGTTAGAGTATTAGTGAACTTCAAGAATTTACTGATTTCTTCAGATTTAGTATTCTTTAGTTATTATAGTACCTCAGTTTCAAAGTATTCCATAAGATTATTTACCACGGATGTAACCTTCAAATTAAAACCAAAATAATGGAAGAAATACATAAAAGAATTGCATAAACCATATTCAGAGTTTCGGTGGATAATTTAATCAAATTCTTCAGGAGCTGGCAAAAAGATATGAAAACAGTTGGTCTGCAAGAAAATTAAAAAGTGGAAGAGTCAACTTGACCCGCAAAGAAGCATGTCGAGGAATTTGATGAATACAATTATCTTCAACAGTGTATAAAATTAATTCAAAAAGAAAAACAAAATACATACACTGTTTTTAAACGATCTTGTCTTGGTATCATTTTGCAGAATATGCTCAAGCCAACTCTTTAATTCTTCAAATTGTCAACATGTTAGATGAATAAACTAATTCATTAAGATCACAAACCTAATCTTTTTCCCCAAAAATATAAAAACATTGTTATTATTCTTTATTGAGCATGTTTTACGAGAAAGAAATTTAATTTACTTAAGTATATCGCTTGAGTAATGACTCTGACACGTTGTTGGAAACATTAAGCATAGGTGTACATACTTAAACAATAAATGTTAGGTACAGAAGTAAAATCATGATGTAAAACGGTTACCTGTTGTGGTAGTTGCGGAAGAGCGCGCTTTCTCGAACCGCCTCCACTGGACCGTGGGGAACTACCACGTGACAAGGAACGCGTGTCTCTGATTGGCTGTGACGCCTGGCGGCCTATGCTCGTTGCTCCTCTGCTATTGGTTGAATGTTGTGATGACGTAGCGTGTGACATGTGATGGTGTGAGCCCTGGCGTTGCGCGTCTTTCATTTCTTGTTTCTATAAATTTAAGAGAGTAAATATTGGTAAAAACGGTTCATTGTCTATTTTCATAACTCGGCTCAGGGCATACATAATATTTCTCCTTGTTTACATTTAGCTATTACGCCCTCTTTGAATTCGTTATGTGAATCATGGATTTCATGAGGTATTTTTTTAAATATATTCATTCTTTTTTTTTAATTTACCTTTTCTAAGAAACTATACTTTAGCGATCTACAAATTTCCCGACGATATTGGAAAAAAGGGCTCTATATCTTGCGTTCTTTTTTAAAACCCTATTTTCTTTTTCTTTATATCAGTTGCTCATCTACCACTTAAAGTCAGCATGCATCAGCAATGATTTTACACACAGTAGTTTGCACACTCAATAAATTAGCCTCTCCGAAAGTGCATCTAAGAATATATATTTTTTAAATTTCTGTAGCAGCTGGTCTTCCTGCACAACTAACTGAACCAAATTACACGAATAAATTCTTTTTATATTCACACTTAATTATTTACAGTAATATTAATCATAAAAATTTATATTTGTTGCACGCCATTATTTTACACTTGAAAATGCTGGTACATAATCTGCACATTGATGATTGTCAATAACAAGTTACAAGCTACTGTTACAAGCTACTGAAGTCATGGCATCTGATTGGCTGAGAGCGAATTTGTCATAGAAATTTAGCAGTTGTTATAGATAACAAGTTTAATGAAACAGGCCCCTTGCGTACCATGGACACTGCTATTTCTTCCTTCAATGGTGGCGCTCTTCTCAACTCTTCTTCTGTTTCTGAGTCGAGCTCATTGGGGTCTCGGAGAGTGGAGTTTCCAGAGTCTGCGAGGAGGGAAAAGATGTTAAAGATTATAAACAAAAGAGACAAGAGAGGAGAGAGAGAGAGAGAGAGAGAGAGAGGGGGAGGAAGGGTGAAAGAGAGAGAGAGAGGCAGGGTGAAATAGAGAGACAGACACAGAGACAGACACACGGAGAGACAGAGACAGAGAGAGAGACATAGAGACAGAGACAGGGGAAGGAAATAGAGGCAGGGTGAAAGAGAGAGAGAGAGAGGGGGGGAGAGAGAGGGGGGGGGGGAGAGAGAGAGAGAGAGGGGTGGAGAGAGAGAGAGAGAGAGAGAGAGAGGGGGAGAGACAGACAGAGAGAGAGAAAAGAGGGGGAGGAGGCATCTTAATCATAAAATAGGAGGAGTGTCACTCGCGTAACAATATTTCAACAATTGAGATGTTTCCTATTTGGAAATTAAAAAAAGCCATTCTTTTTTGTGAATTGTCAAATGACTTAGCCCTACACATAATTATCTTTTGAGTTAGATTATTCAACAGTTATTCTATAGTCACCTTGAAACGTTGACCACATGTGGTAAAATTGTTTGAAAAGGGTCTTAATCCTGTTAAAATATTTAAAGTTAGTCACTGCAATAAATAATATTCTTAACTCTGGTAGACTTTCTATTTATGATTTGGACGGAATAATAGCGAAATTCGTATCAGAGCCGTTTAAATCGCACACTTCTACTATGAATACTGGGATATGACTAAGTTAATTGAAAATAAAATTGGTGCGGGATTGTATTTACGATTAGAGATTGGTTCAAAACAGCAAATCTAAATGAACTGGTATAGATTTATTACAAAAGGGCATCTAGTCGAGGCCAAAGGTTACAAAATGAGAAGAGAAAAATATCGATGAAAATTGAGAAATGCGTATTTATTTAGAAATGCAAACAAATGTGCAGAAATCGATATTTCGTCAAAGTAATGTTACACAAATGGGAATTTCAATTCTATCTAACAGTGAAAACAAGGAATTATGTTGACACAACACGTGCATTTATATAATGACAATATTATTTATGTTAATGTGCTCAATTAGACAGCATAACTTTCACAAACTCTTACCTAGAAATTCCTCAAGAAGTTTTCTTGCTCCTGATTTTTGTATGAGAGCTGTACCATTAAAATTACGATATACATTGAATGAAAATCATATCTATCTGTCTTCGATGAAATAATCAAGTTAAATACCCAAATGATAACTGGATTATATTCAAGATCGTATAATTAGTATTCTCAGTACAAGGAATAATGGACAACTGTATTTTCATTAAATAAAAATCGAAATTGTGATATGTTCATGGGTTAAAAAGTGGAAAAATACTATTTCTGGGATAACTGAAGATGATATCAAACTGTATGATTACTTGTTGCAAGTGCTTCAGTTGAACCTGGCAATGCCAATGACTAGCATAGCACCAAACAAATTCATTTAAGCATATACAGCTAATAGCTAAATTATAGCTCATTTTGAAATGCAATATGGGTCTTTTTCTTAACAATGACATACTACGTTAATAGAAGTTGAGAAGGGGCATTAAATACCTCCAGGACAGGAACATTTAGCTGTGTGATATTGAAGTGTATAGTATCAAGGAATTTCTATGTTAAATGGAATATAGCTCATTCCTTAATCCAAACTAAGCATTGTTTTTATGTGACATAAAAAGAAATTGTATAAAAATTGAAATGCGTCTACATTTATATAGTAACAGTTTAGCTCGTTGGATAATGCATTTTATGCCTTGCGTTATGTTACATAATACACATTACTTTTGAAATGATATAGAGAAGAGGCAATGTTCACCTCTATTGTAAGGAAGATTATTATCATATGTAGTATGTTAAGCAAATGGTGCCTACATCTGACTCTCCACGAAAATAAGTTTGAAACCCTTAAATTGACAACATCTTGAAGGCTCCAAAAGCTTGTTTTATTCTTCAAAACATTTTTTTTAAAATCTTGTCAACATGTCCCTTCCTATGCAAATTATTATCAGATACATTATTTCATTTAATTAGAACGGTGCAGCGATAAATACAAAATATCATAAATGCAAATTTGAAGAGCAACATGCGAATCAATCTAGCTTTAATACTCATGGCCTGAAAGTCCTAAAAGAGGGAAAGGTCATATTTAAAAGGTAACAATTTAGCTCCTTGCATAATGCATTCTATACATTGCCTTATGTTACATAATACACATTAATTTTGAAATGAAATAGAGAAAAGGCAATGTTTACCTCCATCATCAGGATAATTATCACCGTCTGTAGTCTGGTAAGCAAAATGGCGTCTCCCACCAGTCACGTGCATCTCCGAGCCGTCGTAAGAGCCCTGAGATGCGTACGATTTACGCTGTCTCGACCTGACATGGAGATAACAATGAAAGTAATTCAATTAACTCATTTGTTACTGTATTCTCTCATGTCCTTAGGCTTTAAAGCTAAAGCCATGGTAATTATGCTGCATTCTTGTAGAGCACTTAGAGACTTCTGATAAAGTAAGTGTTAGGCGCTATATAAGCAAATATAATTATTGATACATATGCCACTCGGTTCACACAGGCAATGGGTTAAAGGTACTATGTCCCATTTGCAGCCAACATCAAATTCCGTAGAACTTTGCAGGAATCATGAACATATCACGTGAAATTTAAATGTTAGCAGTATCCTAATATTTAAATTATGCAAGGAAACCCGTTTACTTTCCAAACTTCACTGTCAGACACTATTGAGTGACTGACTGACTTCTTCGATTTTCTTTGGTAATAACATACATACAATGAGATGTAAAGGGTACATGGGCATTTGTACATCAATAACCAAATTCTTGTAATGGCCAAAATTAAACTGATTGAATCTTTGCGCATTACAAAACGCACGACCGTTCGTTACAATGTCGATTCGACATCTAATTGTCGTTATTTTCCAACTTAAAGACATTTCCAAGCCTTTAGTTTTTAGGGAAGTTCTAGATTATTATTATTTTTCAAATGCTTTTCAATTTAACCTTTTAATTTGTTTTGCCTGCAAATGGGACATAGTACCTTTAAATATGTTCATGTTATGCACTTGATATGACTTTAATTAGCTATATTTATTTCACTACTATATCTTAAACAACATTACATCGAGGAGAGATGTCATTCTGGGTGACAAAACATAGAGATGGCAATCCTATATTAATAATTTACCATTTTCAACATCTACCTTATTTTGATACGACAATATGCAAGGTTTGGATCCTAAAAAATCAGTGCCGACAGTTCATTGTCTGAATCCGGTCAACAGCATCAATAAACTATACCCTTTCAAAAAAAATAATTTAAAAATGGGAGACTGATCTCATGTTTATATCGTGTAATATATCATCACTGTGGTTATTGTTATGAGATTGGCGCTTAAAGCGTTACTTACGGGTCCACAATGACGTCATCACCTACGTAATCATCCATGAACGAAGCTGAGCTTAGGAGACGTGTTGTACGAGGCGACATGCGAGACGTCTGTTACGAGTTAAAATAAAAAATGTCCCTTAACTCATTGACTATAGTATTCTCTCATTGACATAGGCTTTAGTACAGGAGCCATCAGGTTCTCATAGGCAATGTGTTAACTCGTCGATTCTTAGAGAACTTTGATAAATGTTTCATTTTATCTTCGGTCTTCCATGTGGGAAGACTTGCTCTTTTATTTTCGTTATTTTCTATGCAAACATATTAAATGTCTTTAAAAACTGGATGTTTGAAGGGATTTTTATCATCTCTTTCTTTTCAAATGAAATAACAAAAATAACATTATGAACTTAACAAACAATCCATACAAAAATCATTTATTTATAGGTGGATGCACGTCCAACTCATCAAAATACAAGAATCTTATTGTTCATTGTACATTCGTTGGTCAAATGTATGAATCTATCATTTTTGTCCTTTTTGCTATACTACTTTATGATCTAAGATAAATGGAATAAAGAATTTATTTGCAGGTCTTTTTTTATTATTTTGTAATGAGAAATTTGTTTTATTTGGCGAAGAGCTGAATTGATTATCCTACATGTGGACACTGGGCCAGATTTACCATTGTGATAACAGACGATGCTTTCCACGGAAGGAAACTAGATTGATCATGTTTCATGTTACATGTGAAAGTGATATATATTATTCATTTAAAGAATAGGGAAGGCATAACTTAACATTAATAATTCAAAATGTTTAGTACGCAGCATTTGAAAAGGAAAAAATAATTAATATTATCGTATTTATCGTATTTTGATGCTCAGTTAGAATCATAAATTAAAACTGGCGTTTAATCTCATTCTAAGACTACATCACGACTGCATGTCACACTTTTCAAAATCAGGACGAATATTAACGAAAAGTTGTTAAAAACAAATTCTACTTACTCTCGACACATTTTCCAATGCAGATCTGAGATCATCATTCGTATCCTGGAGTTTCTTGTTAGCCTCACTGTGGATCAGAAATAAATTATACAGACGTTTATAAAAATTTATCCCACATAAAATTTAGCATATGGTACGAGACAGTGAACAGGAAAATATCAAATTACTATGTCATATCTTAAATATAAAGTTGAGTTCTGGTCATGCGATTGCATTATGAAAGAAACGGTGTGGAAGCAATCAATGATGATGTAGCATATCATTATTAAGGTGTACTGCAAGGTTCTGAAGTCATCAAAATGAAATTTGGCCCAGTCTTGGTAAAGTAACAATTAGCACTGTACACAGAAAGGTGTATATTGCACTACACAAACATGTAGCATAAAAATCGGGCCTCATTTTGAAGCTGTTACTTGTCATATTTAGAATATGAAGGCATTTGAAGAGCCATGCTTTTTTGGGGAATATTATTTCTTTGCTGTTCTTCCACACTTGCATAATAACAATGATAACGCTCCCAATTTATTGTTTTCACTTCTCCCCAGAGCTCCACCTTCTCTTAAATAAAATCAAACATCAATGAACTTACTGTAATAATTGGAGTTGCCTGGTAAGATTGTCCTGTTCTCCGATGTAATCCTGTATGACGTCACGGTTACTATTACAAGAAAATATCAAAAATAGCTATGATAATAATGGCATCAAATATACATTGTCTAGGGAGAGAACGTCGTGATAATCTCATTATAAATTCATGTAGTTCGTACAAGAAACTTCTCTCTGGAAAGGTACACTGTACCGTATGAACAAGAATAAGTTTGGTTGCATCATGAAAGTAATCATTTCAAAATCTTCCTTCAAAAGATGGATATTCCTTAACACAACTCATATAACACATTAGCTTTAAAGCCTATTTAAAGTCAATTATTATTTTTACCTCCGATTTTAAAAATGGGGACAATTATACATCTTCACGAGGTTGGGTTTCGAGTTATTGGTCTTGAATGGCTTTGCGTACAGTCATTCGAAACAATTTAAAAAAAATTATTTATTGAAACAACTCTCTTACATAATAATAACATGTTCGTATAGACAAGGAATTTATGGTAAAATATATTGTAATAGTTAACTCATCAACAAAAATTACTTTAAAATATATATATATATATATATATATATTTCTTATTATAAAGATCGAGACGATTTTTCTTAAAAGCAATTATACGAACAGTCGAAACATTCTATGCAAGCCTGAAACATAAAAGAAGTTGGCCAGCATCTACTTACTTTGATATGAATCCATTCTGTTCGTCGAAGTCGCTTTTCAGTGTGACCAGCTCACTTCTGGACAGGACGATGTTGGTCTGGGCCTCAGTTAGACTACTTCTTAGGCTCCTGTTCTCACTCCTTAACTGGTCCAGGTCCTTCTTGAGGGAGTGGAGCAGGTCTTCCCGAGATGTGTCTATCCTCTCTGCTTTGTCTTCGGCCTTTCGAAAAAGAAGGATCAGAATGTATCAGATTGTTTTGATGAAAAGGGGATTTCACTGTATATTTATCCCAATACCAGATTACAACTACTACTAAAACAACAATTACTTGTACTACTGCTCTTAGTTATTGCAATTTAGTGTATTTTGTGAGGATCATTTTTTAACAAGCCTTATGTGCTTTTCATGATCCTCCATCTTCAAATATTTTAATATATGCGTTTGCATTTTGAAGATTATATGATACTGTTTCAATCTTGACGTAGAAATAAATGAATTGAATAAATAAATGTATACTTACTGTGTGTATTTGATTGAGGTTACTCTTTAACTCCCGAATCTCTGCTTCAAGCTGCTTTTGAATCTCGGCTTTTTCCGATTCTATCCGTTCCCTTTCCTAAAACAAAAATCAAAAATTGTAAGGATTTAGTGTGTAGGCCTTTGCACTAGGGTCCCGTCAAGTTAAGAGTTGCGATTGATCCGAGTCAATCGCAAGTCCTCCTATCAATCGCAAGTTTGCATTTTCCTATCTCTGAAGTACAGAGCTGCGACTGATATCAATCGCAAATTAGTCGTGATTAATCAAAATTGTTTTTAACACGGGGCCCTGAAGTATTGTGAGATGTTACTTGAAGTTGGTTCTTTTCAATACAACGCATTTTTTCAACTCCTGTTACAAACTCGAGCATTAGGTGCAAATTAAAAGATTCTCGTCTTGAACGGCAACATCTGAAGAGAAACAGAGTCTGGATAATGCTCGAACACAATGTTAAGACTAACGAAAGGCGCGTGAGAATAAACCGTGGAACGTATAGAGTACCGAAGCTGTGACGTCATATAAATCTATTTTTAGAATATTTCAATTTTTTTTTTCATTTTCCGAAAGAGCATAAAAAATAATGTCCAAACGTCGAAAACCAATTGAATATGTTACGTATTGACTGAGATATGACCATCTGAATAAATATAAGTCCAATGGGAACTCAGTGTTATATGCTCTGGCTCCTAAAAAATTGAGAAATTCTAAAAATAGATTTTTTGATGACGTCACACTTCACCACTCTATACCTGCGAAGGAGTGGGTCCTCGTGAAAGGGATCGCCATGCCCTAGGTCTGGATCCTACTGAATTTTTCCTTGAAAGAACCACTGCCCCAGGAGACACATATCCAGGTCCTGGACTGATACCACTTCGCCTTAAGTCCGGCGTCGACTTGTGCAGATTCAGATCTTGCCAGCTTGATCTGGTTCTAGCCGGTTTATACTGGGATGGTTTTTGAAAGCTAGAATGTTCGCTCGAGAAACCGGAGGAGCTGTTGGCACGCTGAAGATCTGGTACAGACTTGGTTCTGTTCAGATCAGAAGCAACCATTGCCGTTGTAATAAAATGGCCATCTTTGGACAACGCTCCAGGGGTTGTGGATATTGCCGACTGTCCGACCAAAGGTGTTGGTTTGTAGTGTTGCGGCAATGAGTTCGTAGGGATTGAAGTATTCGGTAAGGACCCTAAATCCTTGTTTCTTTGCAGTGCATGTATTGCACTCTGACCAGGCTGGGCGACAAATGGTGTTGGCTTGTAGTATTGCGGCAACGATTTCATATGATTTGAATCGCTTGTTGGCCAAGTCTGTTCCCCAGCCCTTTGCATAGCGTGTGTTTCGCTTTGTCCATGCTCATCAGTGAAAGGTGGCGGCTTAGATTGTTGGAGCAAGGTGGTATGTGATGTATTTTGATGGAAATGTTGATTACTCTTTTGATTTCTACTCGTAGCAGAGTTAGAAGCGAGAGGGTTTGGCCGATCATATATCGAATGATTCCTGTAGTTCAGAGCACCATTACTCTGTTGCTGCTCCGTCGACTTCGGTGCTGCACTTTTCTGGAGTGCAGCCCTTAATTGGTCAGAAGCAGATGGCAAACTTGGTGATGGGGCGTAGAATGGTTCGTATACAGGATGACTCTGTTGATGATTCAAGGACGGCTGCACTTGATTGATGCCACTATTTGCATGAAAATTCTTCTGATTCAACAAACCACTAGATTGTTGATTGATTGGGGCCGTTTGCTGCAGACGTTGTCCTGAAGGCTGCCCATTCACATGCTGCACCGCATTGTTTCCCGTTGGCCTCGAAGCCTGTTGGTAGTTCCCTGTGGTCTTTGAAGTCAGGTGAACCTGTTGAGCAGTTGTGTGGTTATGGGCGGATGCATCGTAAGGTCTTGGAGGAGGCATTGGTTCGGAGAAGTCATCCAATACCAACGATTTGAAGGCACCGCCTGCCTCACTGAGTGAAACGGTTACATCGGTCCAAGCTGTCTTAAGTCCGTTAAAGCTTAAATCCATTGTGAAATTGTGTTCTTTTCCAAAATATACTTCAATACAAAATCAACAGGTCTCTTGCAAAAGATTTCGAAGACTATCCCAAAATATCCATTTAGCCCGAGATCTATTATGAAGTCGTGTCCTGCTCCAAAGCTTCCAAATATTCCCTAATCAGCAATCAACATAACACTTGGTAAAGATTTCGAAGACTCTCCCGAAAAATCCACTTAGGTTGAGATCAAATATGAAATCGCATCCCTTTCAAAAGCTTCAAGATATTCTTCAATCAACAGAAAGCATAACTCTAGCAAAATGATTTCGAAGTCTGTCCCGAAAAATACGTCGTCGTTATCATCTCCTGGATGTTCGAACGGTAATCTTTTTGAATATACGTGCTGGAAGACCACAATCTTCACATGGTTCTGGGTTCTCCTTTGGCACAATAAGCAAAGTAAAAATATGCATATACCCCATGCGAGTTTCCTTTACATCCACTTAACCACACATAATTAGGCTTTATCTCTTCCAGAACAACATCCACGATGCTCATTAGAACTCCAAAGTTTGTTCAACAGAGAAAAAATGGTGCTGGATAATATATTCCACAAACTGCTCTGCACCGGCCTTTGTACACTTATCGCGACAATAAGAGCTTCGAACAAGCCAGGAAACATCAAGTTTCTAAAACTCGATTCAACTTTCTGTCTTTGGTAACAGTGGTTAAAAGAAGTAGGGAAGAAGGATGGACGAGTACGCCACAAACACCTTAAGAAAACCACCCTGTTTATTGATCATTGCTTCCTAGACTGGTACCCTAACCCATCTCAAGGCAATCCTTCATTGGTGCGTTTCCTTGATTGATCTGAAGATGGTATAGGAATGCAGTCTTTTTGAAAGGCGGTATACCGCGCCGTATTGATTTCACTTGTGTTGATCGTTGAGCTGTTCACCCTTCTATTGTTGAACTTACAATGTGTTTATCAATCAATAAACTGAACGGCATATTTAGTCCATGGAGATATAAGAAGAACATGTTTAGTCTTTTACAGGGCCCCGTTGCACAAAACTTACCATTGATGGTAACTTTGCCATCAATGGTAACTACCATGGAAACCTTGAGTTTGAGCCCTGTTACTATGATAATTGCCATTGATAGCAAAGTTACCTTCAATGGTAGGTTTCAAGCAACGAAGCCAAGGACCCAGTAACGCAAATAAATTATTCCGCTCTATGTGGACAATACAGAACTAAAGTAAAGCATCATATTCCTTTCGCGACATTCAGCAAAAACCACCTTTACTACTCTTTTTTTTTTTATTTATTTATTAAATTACATGATTTATTGAATACCATTATTTCATTTTGATACAGTAATTTTTTACGAAGTGTTCCATAATCGAAAGAGCGTGTTTAATGATTTTTAACAAAACCAAAATGCCTTTTTAAAGTTAACTATACACCAATAGTCACATGATACTATGGTGCTCGATTTGCAATGGTTTCAGAGAAAATACTGCATAAAAATAGATAATAATTTGCATATATAGATAACATTTCTCCTACCTCTTTTCTGACCCTCTCCTCCGTTCTCGTCATCTGAACCTCCATTTCATACTCCAGCTGCTGGAGATGTTCAGTGTTGGTTTCATTTGTCCTGTTACCAAGGAAACCAATCAAATCCTTATTAATTTTATGAAATTTCTGTGTAATTACTCCTTGTTAACAGGCGGCAAAACAGATCTTCCACTTGTAGGTGAACGCACAGTAATCAACACATGTGATTACACTAAAAATTACTGTGGAAGTATTTTTGTTCTGGCCGAGTTACCTTCAATATATATATATATATATATATATATATATATATATATATATATGGTTACCGATTATTGCGACAATCACAATGTACTATCAGTTTGATATACAGTCTTAACATTTAAAAAATAATTTTCTTTAAAGCAAGATTGTACGAAATGGTATACAAATCAATTTGTTATTTGCTCTTTGCTTATATGAAGCAACTTCTTGCGTTACGTCGATCGTCACACGAAAATACTGCTTAATAAAAAAAAATAAAAAAAACGTTTATATATTCATGGATATATTTATACAAACGTTTATATATATTCCTTACATTAATGGAAACACTTAGAATTCTTTCACTACCATTTTTAAATATCAAAGAGCTTGAAAAATAAGATCGTTTATTTTTCTTCCTTTTCAGTTTTTCTTTTTCACGATGAATTATTTAACTAATGAGTCCACGTTTCTGGCCGCAAACGCACACATACAGTTAACAAATCAAGTATTCATACTATTACCAAGTTTTGTGATTTTTTAAAATAAATATTAGACAATTTGTTTTGTCCCAATTCATGTCTCTTAAGAATGTGGCATATTAAAACGTGTATCTTTAAGTAGTAAACAAACGCCTTAGTTCAACCAGTCCACCTTTCATGCTTGAGTTACACAAAACACAACACATATCAAATTTACAGGGGATATGAATAATTATATAAATGTATTTGCACATTTAAATCAAAAAGAAAGTTTACCTTTTCAATGACTTCTCTAACCTATCGACCCCTGATTGGTACTGCCTGAGATCTTTTATGACGTCATAGATGACGGCCTCATATTGGCGGAGGATTTGAGGCACCTCTGACGAATGGAGCTGCTGGTATAATTCACAAATTTGATCTTGGCTAAAAAGGAAAGAGAAAACAAAAGGTATTTATTTTAATTTACAAGTTCTAAATAAATGAATAGTTTTCGATCTCAGTTACTGTACCAAAAATGTAATTAAAACAGAAATAACCAGCTTATTTGACTGCGAAGATTTAAAAAACTAATAAGCCATGAGAAATCGAATCGAATCGACTCAACGAATATTTAAAAACGGGCTCCGCGTGATTTGTTTGGATGTAGGCCTAAACGCCAAGTAACGCCTGGCTGGAATACTCCCCAGAAAGTGGAGATTGTGCACACAGTGTGTGTGTGTGTGTGTGTGTGGGGGGGGGCACTGAATCGAATGAAAGGGGTAATAGTATAGATGTAAAGCGCTTAGAGTGCTATATAAAGCGGAATATTATTAGTAAACGAGCTCGGATACATTATTATACTTCCAAAGTATACACATGAAAGGTAATAGTACAGCTAGTCCCCTTTTAATTTTGTTTTGGTCAAATAGCACCTTGAAAATGAATCACTTCCAAATGAAGCTCACATGAATACTTTCCAATCTAACAAGTGTTTTGATATTGGAAAAACGATAGTATGAAATAAGGATATGAATTTAAATACGAATAATATATATACATCTAATGTGTGTAATAATGTGATATCTATGTGTGGTATATTGTCAGTGGAAATATATAATCATATGTATATTAGTATGTTAAAGTGTATTTACAAACCCTAAAATCAAACACTTGCACAAGTACACTCAAGCAACCTCACACCCAAACACACACACCCCCACACACACACTCACACACATACATACACAGTATTGAATTTCGAGTCCGCTTTCATGGAATTCCCTTGCATATGTTCCCTCTATTTTAAATCAAATGTACCACAAGCAGACATCTCATTATCGTCGTATTTCAACCGCTTCGACCTTTCTTATGTAAACAATAATTTTGGAGTATGTTGACATTCGAGGTAAGATAACCATACATTTACCCACAGGTGCGTTTCACGTCTTATCTCGTTAAAGCCGAGGGGGGGAAAGTCTATTTATGGTCATATCTGTTCGCCAATGATAATAGGGACTTTTAGATTTGCGTGGACTGAAACATGTGACGTCCATTCAAGGCAGTGCATTAAAAGGACGTCGATCGTAGCAATCCCCATTGTCTTCGTGCGAATCTAAAAGTCCCTAATACGACAGTAGGTTGACATTCAATTTAAGATAACCATACGTTTAAATACATACAGATGATTTTCTCTTCTTAGCTCACTGATTTGAAATATTATTGAAATGTCTCATGCAAACGGCAGTAAAGGTGCGTGATGACAATGAAAGAAAGGTAACCACACACATACAGGTGCGTTTCTCTTCTTAACTATGTCCCATTTTGCAGCCCAAAATATGAAAAGATTAAATTCCAAAGGCATTTGAAAGATAATGCTTATTTAGAACTTCCCTAAAAAAAAAAGGGGGGGGGCTTGATATATAATTTCAAAACGGGAAGAGCTAATTAGTCGCTTTTAGTCGAGAAATATTGTTTTATAGCTAAATTAATATCTAGACCTTGAGAGGGAGCTATACAACATAAAGAGTTTATTATTCAAAATTTCATAACTTTAGACTCGATTTCAACCGCGACAACGATCACTGAATATTGTAGGATCGCATGTGCTTCCAATAAGTTCATTTGAACCAACTTCATGACCCCATACCAAAACTTTGTATTACCTTTAAAGGGTAGAGGAATACAGTATGATGATGTTTGTATTTAACATTATAGAATCTCCATTTGAAGTATTCATGACATTTCTAATGTCAACAACAATGAAGGAATGTGTTGACATTCAATGAAAGACAAACATGCATAACACACATACGGGTGCGTTTTTCTTCTAAAGGATAGGGGAATGCAATGTGATAAGCTTTATATTTTCTGATAAAATATGCTTATGAAATATTGATAATATCCCTAATGTCAATGACAGTAAAGGAAAGTGTTGACATCAAATGAATGGTATTCCTACATTTGCACACTGGGGTGTTTCTCGTCTTAACTATTTAGAGTCGAGAGGGAAGGACTGCATTCATGCTAAAATCTCGCTTATACAATTTTCATATGACATATTCATGACATTTCAAATATCAATATTATATGATAAATATCCATTGCCGCACATGTATAGGGCTTAATACTCTTTTATTTGTTATAATCAACTTTAATACAGGGCAACTGTGTTGAATTTTTCATGGGGATATGTAAATGGAACCTTAAATTCACAGTGAAATAATGTTGACTTCTCATTGTTGCAGTTATTGACGAGAAACTTAGAATTACGAAATACCTTAGGACTTGAAATGCAGTTTGGCGAAAAGTATTGTTGGGGTTAGTTTTAAGTGTGAACGGTCTTTAATGGGGCGTATCGTTGGAATGATTTGGAATAATTTCTCTTTAATAACATTTCGTATGGATTTTTTGAGTATTTGCATAATGAGTAAGTATTTTTGTTTCGATTGTAAGGAACTATAGCAACATCCAACTAGACAAAGGAAATGATTTGCATGCCGGACGGTGACCAGAAAAGTGGAATCTTTTACCCAGTCCTTCCCCTTATCCCGGGGGATATGCACTATTTGCTTTCTAGATTGGTCTTTAAGGACTTATGTTAAATGTCAAATACTGTACTTGTAAATATGTTGTCCGTCTGACGTTTTCATAAGGCACGGCACAGCTCATGCTAGACAAATAAAATAATACAATAAATAGTTTGACAGGCCTTGCTGTCTCCACCTGACATTTTCAGTTGAATTGCATTGAAATACGAAGGCCTGATTCGCATTCCAATGACATAATGCTCATACTGGGAATCCAAAATGAACTGACAATGGGCCTGCGTATTATCATTCATTCAAAAACAATTAAACAATTTCATTATCAAGGAGGTTATCGATTGAATATTTCCTACACGTGCATAATAAATACCTTCACGGGCGTTTCATAGAAAAGCTGCTACGTGTATGTGATTTAAGGGGCGATTCACTCCAACCTAATATATATATATTTTTAACTAATATAAAGTATGTTGTTGCATCTTCCTATAATATGTCTTTCTTTACTCGACATAATTTGGTTTTGCACGGATAAGTGCTAGCTCCAAGCAGATTTATATTTAAATATCTATTGAGGAGTTGGACAAAAATTTACTGGTAGGTCTACATAACAAATATATTTCTTATTCATCTGAAAGCTGATGTTAAGCAACAAAATAATGGGGGAGAATTTACACATTCAATGATCGAACTTGTGAATTTAAAAAAATGGCAATGAAACTCATTGGATAGTTGAAAGATTGTGTTTTGCCTCAGTATTGAAGCCATTTTGTTTGAAAAAGAAAATGTATGTAAGATGTACCAAATAACATGGTTCAACCATCAATATTGGGCTGATGTCATGTACCCAAATACTTGTTATGATATATTGCGATTCAACTTCATTTCAGTCAATGAAATTCACTGAAAAACAGAGATTTACTATTCAGATGAAAATAATTAAATCTATGTTTTTAACGAAAATATAGCATGCTTTCCACTATCAAATTGTCTACAAATAGCCGCGTTCTAACTTATTTAACGTCCTTGTTCTGCAACAATCTGTATTATTACAGATGGGGGAAAGGATATCAGTGTCTATAAAGTAAATGTAGCATGTTTTCAACAATTACATTTTTTTAAGTAGCCGTATAACAGCCATGGTCTGTAACAGTCTATACTATTTCAGTTGGAAGAAATTATGTAAGTGACCGCCAATTTGAACTTTGCAACAAGCTAGGGAATCATGTTTTAAAACCATGCTGATTATGTCCAAAGTCTAGTCCGTTTTGGGCTTACAACAGCTGCTCTTATCTTATGTGTCTTCTACATTAATTTGTATACTTCATTCTAATATCATCTAACCTAACATTCCTGCATCATTTGTGCAACATGTCCATTTCTCCATAGACAAATATATTTCTTTGTAATCTTCTGAAATTTAAAATGCAGTTTTTATGTAAGAATGTTAAAGTCTTATCAAATACTACTGAATGACGATGAATATTTCAATTAGTTATCATTTTCATGGGTCTCCTGTACATTTTTATAATTTACATTTTTCCCCCTCATTATATAGATAAGGCAGTAAAATTAACGCTTCTAGCAGGGGATAAATACTTTAATAATTGCTTTAGTAGGATCGCGTTCTTTTCATAGAAATATATATATATATATATATATATATATATATATATCGCTAATTAAATTTCGTGTCAGATGTCACCTCCAACACAAGTGTAAAGTGCTACAATATTCGGACTCACTCGGGTAAAATTGAAAATAACTTATAATATTTCTAATGGCATTTCCACGTTAACTGTCAGAGGTGTGTGCCATATAAAAACTTGGTATTACTTTCACAACGATACTTATTTATCCGGGTGTTATAACGCATAACTCATATCATATTGAATGAAATAATAATAACAACAACAACAATAATAATAACAATAGTTATAAGTCTCGTTTACCGAGGGTAGCCTCATCAGCATTAATTAATACCGTTCTCCTTGGGGCCCTGTAATCATAATTAGCCCGGCATTTTGATATCATCATATTTTATCATAACAAAACTCTACTGCATGTGTTGTACTGTAAACTGGGTATCTCATACACCCACACACTTGGTGGGATTATAAAACAATCTCACAATATCTCATTACGTTGGTGCTATTAAACAAACACCTCCAACCTCACGTTTAGCCTATACATTATGCATGAGAACGTTCCATATGGCGCCACACGAATATGCCATAGTTCACGGTAACACGCGCAACTGGTAGTTTGGTGTAAACCGCATTGAATACCATGTATGCAGGCTTATATTTGAAGTTGTGTTTCATTTCATAACTGACAGGTTCTCAATTTATAAGAACCTCTAGCTTTCTTTCCATTACAATCAGTAAATTCTAAACATGAATT